CGCTACCACACCCAGCTGATTTTTGATTTATTGTAGAGATGAGGTCTCGCTGCCCAGGCGGGTCTTGAACCCGCGGGCTCAGGCGATCCACTCACCTCAGCCTCCCAAAGGTGCCGGATTACAGGCTGAGCCACTGAGCTCGGCTTTTTTTTTTTTTTGAGTCAGAGTCTCACTCTGTTACCTAGGCTGAAGGGCAGTGACACGCTCATGGCCACCCCAGCGTCGACCTGCTGGACTCAGGCGATCCTTCCGCCTTAGCCTTCCAAGTAGCCAGAACTACAGGCATGAACTACCACACTTGGCTCATTTTTTGATTTATTGTAGAGACGCAGTCTCGCCAAATTGCCTGGGCTGGTCTCGAACTCCTGGGCTCAGGCAATCCTCTCCCCTCAGCCTCCCAGAGTGCTGGGAATACAGGCTTGAACCACCATGCCTGGCCTTACTTCAAGATCTTTAACTGAAGTTAAGGAATGAGTTCATATAGCAAATTACATCTGCAAGGTCCTTTTCCCGAACAGGTTCCAGGGGTCAGGACTTGGCCATATCTTTTTGTGGCCACCATTCAGCTGTCTGTACCTGCCACCTTATTATCCAATGGCTACCAATGATCACTGTCTAGGTTCATTATTACATTAGGAGTCGCAAAGTCGAGATGTTCTAATTTTGTCATTACTTCTTCATTTATTAGCTGTGAATCATCATTGATCAAAAATTTCCAAGCCGGGCTGGGTGGCTCAGCCTGTAATCCCACCCTTTAGGAGGCTGAAGTGAGTGGATTGCCTGAGCCCGCGGGTTTGAGACCTGCCTGGGCAACTTGGCGAGACCTCATCTCTACAATAAATCAAAAAAAATTAGCTGGGCGTGGTAGCGTCCGCCTGTAGTTCCAGCTACTTGGGAGGCTGAGGCAGAAGGATCGCTGGAGCACAGCAGGTCAAGGCTGCAGTGGCCGGGGGGGGGCACTGCATTCCAGTCTGGGTGACAGAGTGAGACTCCAACTCCAAAAAAAAAAAATTTCCCTCAGCAACTATTTTGTTACCCTGAAATTTCACCCATTCAGAAAGGGTAGAATTAGCGGGGCTCAGTGGCTCAGCCTGTAATCCCGCGCCTTGGGAGGCTGAGGTGAGTGAATTGCCTGAGCTCGCAGGTTCGAGACCCGCCTGGGCAACTTGGAGAGACCTCATCTCTACAATAAATCAAAAAATTAGCCGGGCATGGTAGCGTGTGCCTGTAGTTCCAGCTACTTGTACTTGGGAGGCCGAGGCGGAAGGATCGCCGGAGCCCAGCAGGTCGAGGCTGCGGTGGCTGGGAGCGGCCACTGCACTCCAGTCTGGGCGAC